CCCTGAAATCCCATAAACATATTTCCTGTTTGTCTGAGATCATGGTTCCCCTTAGTGTAGTGATCCGGTTCCCATGAAACACAAGACACAGGGCTGTCTGCAAAAGTGAGAACCCCGAGTAGAATCGTAAGCTCTCTTTTATTGAAATTTTACACAAAGACATCGCTCTCAAGGAGGAAATAACAACCTTCTGGTTAACTATTTGCTAGACACAGACACAGATAACATTTATTTGCACTTCGTACGTGTTCCAACTGCCAGGGCAATCTGCACGTACTTATACAATACACAAAAGTCAAAACACTAATTAAACATGAGGTAGCGTTGGTTAATCTCCACACCTTAGGATAACAAACGTGGACTCATAATAATGGCAACTGAGAGCTGTTCACTTTTATCATTTTTTTTTCTGAGTTTTACTACTCTACTAGTATAGTACTTATACTTTGACTTCTGTGCTTCGGTAAATAACTTTTCAGACCCGAATCCTTTTTTTGTTAAGGCTGTGGCAGTCAACAACAAATGGTTATGTTACTGGTAGTTAACATGAGGAGGCTGGATGGGTCACTTGTTCCAATTACAATTGAATAATCATTTTCCTAAATGAAACATAAATGGACCTTCTTCTCAATTAGGTCCTTCAGGCCACAGAGCAGGTTAAATACTTTATATAGTTCTAACCAAAAAAAGAATAAAAAAGAACTGTTAGTTTCATGATTTGGAAAGTTTGTGGAATGTTTGTAGCCACATCACAATGTTCACCTGCTTCCTTTTGCAATAAAGTATTATTGCAAACACTTTTTCTCAAGTCCGTTACCAAGATAGGTATCCCCATACCATAACTTTTTGGTTCTGTGAATAGCATTTTGTTATATATCATTGTAACTTTATGCAAATTTCTCTAAAAATGTCATATTGAATTTTATTTTTCTCTTATGACATATAATCTCATCCAACATGTATCATCTGCAAATCTGATAAATATTCTGTATTGATCTGTATTCTACATCAGCCAAGTCATTACATTTTTAAAAAGATAAATACTTAAGCTTAAATCTTGAGACATTCCTCTCTGGTTTGATGAGAAACCTTTAACAAAAGCTTCATGAATGCAATTTTCAAACCTGTTAAGTGCTGCCATAAGGAATATATAATTCTTTATTTAATCTATCACCAAAGTAGCAATTAAAAATTAGTTCAGTTTTGTTGACTAATTCATGCTGACTTCTGGTAGTTATCACATTGTTTTTAAGATGCTTTCAGATTGTGATTGTTACGATCTACTCTAGAATCTTTCCAAATATCAATGACTTTACAGATAGTCCTCACTTAACAATAATATTTGAGACCATCGATCCCATCACTAAGCCACAAAGTCATAAAGGATGATGTCATGTGACACCACCACTTAGCAACAGCAGTTCATGCATTTCTGGTTACCATCCTAAAACGAACCCCCACACTATCATTAAGCAAGATGTTACACTTTCACTATTTGCAACCTCCTGCCAGCTTCCCCTTTGATTTGGCTGGCACTGAGGGTCTCAAATGGCAATCATGTGATGTCCAAGATGTTGTGGCTACTTAAGTACAAAGACTGATCATAAGTACCACTTATTCAGTATCATTGTATGTTCATATGGTCGCAGAATGACTCTTATGTAAAGACCACCTCTAATTCCTCAGATACTTCCCCCCCCCACTTTGTCTGCTACCTCAGAAAACATAAGCTAATAATCTTAAATTGCACCCTAGTGAATTTGGTTGAATAGTAGAATGGGTTTCCAATGGTAAATTAATCTGCAGTGGGGTCAATTACAGGTAGTCCTTGACTTACAACCATTCATATAGTGACTGTTCGAAGTAAGAACAGTATTGGAAAAAGTGATTTGTAACTGTTTTTCACATGACCCATCATGCTTATGTCATCAAAATTCAGATGCATGTATTTATGATGGTTGCAGGGTATCCCGGGGTCACATGATCCCCATGTGCAAACTTCTGACCAGCAAAGTCAATGGGGAAGCCAGATTCACTTAACCACCGTGCTACTGACTTAACCGCTCCAGTGATTCATTTAACAATTGTGGCAAGAAAGTTTGTAAAAGTCACTTAACAGTTTCTTGCTTAGCAACAGAAATTTTGGGCTCAATTGTATTAATAAGTCGTGGACTACATGTGCTTTTAGAAGTTTAGGGCTTCTATTCATTAGATTTATTGTCTTGCTTTTCCTTCAGGCATCCAAGAGACAATCCTGTCAGGAGATTGGCTGAGGAAGAGTAAGTGCCCAAAGTCATCCAGAGAACAGCCAAGGCTAAAGGTGGGCTTGAGCCTGGTTTTTTATATCCTAGTCCAGGACTGAAACTACTACATAACATTGGCTTTTCTACATACTAAGTGGATACAAGCTTTTAGGCAATACTGCAAGACAGCGATCTCATAATTTTTTGTTTCTGTGATGATTACAGAGGCCTCAAGTGCTGTGTTGAAAAGATGCAATATTATTTCATGTCAGAAATATCAGTGATTGAATTGTGATAGATCATGAATATTCTCTATCCAGTTGGACAGTATACAGTATATATTGGCATAAGTAAGATATATGAATGAAACAGAATGGGAGCTGGATTGTATTCAAACATATAAAGATAAATTCTCTGTTAACTGTGGCTGGTCTGGCTGATTCAAGAATAAAATACCCAGAATTACTTGGAAATAATGTCCACTTCCATTGGAAGATAACATCTTTAGTCTAGAAAAGACATCAAGTATTTTTGATTGCCTAATAATTCTACAATAATAGCCAATTATGTATAATATGAAAAAATCTACTATAGGCAGGGAAATCCATAAGATATGGTTAAAAATAAGTTAATATGGTAGTCTTGATGATGCAATCAAAGCTTTGCCTATTTTTAATGTGCCACACATAAAAATGGGTGAAGCTTTAATTGTATTATCATTGCCACCATATTGACCTTTTTGTATGTTGACTTTTTAGCCTGTGGGTAACCATGTTTATAAGAATGAGCTTTACTAGAAGAATGGCTCACCACATCTGTTATGCAAATGTTCAATTTCTTTTCTTAAATTGGATTCCTAGTTCAAATCTTATATTCAGACTTAATTTTCATATGTGTTTTATTCACATCTCCATAGTAAAGACTAGTGAATTATACTATTAGAATTACATTTAAAAATAATTAAAAACTCTGTTGTTGTTGTTTTTGCTCTAGAGGAGAAACTAAAGATAAACAAATTTTAAAATGTGTTCTGAAAATCTGGCAGTTCTACTAACACTGATCCTTTGCTTTATCAGCTCAGGTAAGTATAATCCTTTTTGCTTTCTCTCTTTATCTTAAAACATGCCATTTTGGGTTGATTGTTTTAAGACTGTCTATGCTATTGAATACTGGATATCATACGCAGATGATACATAAACATTGAAACAATGGAAAGTTGTTATGGGTAACATTTGAGAAAGGCATGTTTGATCGGGCAAGATAAGCTGGGAGTTGTGAAGTTGCATGTTTTCTTTTCAACATAATCTGTTGTGAACTTCATGTAAAAATACACCATACAGCAGGATAATAAATAAAAGTGATTGGAGGTTCAGCATTTAAATATTTCCAAGGAATGGAAATGATCTAATACTAATGAAAAATAAATGTCACTGCTGTATCATCAAGGATTTGAGTCATTTAAGACAAACAACATTTCTCCCCTACTCGAATCACAATATCTTGTAGCAGGGGTCCCCAAACCCTGGTCGTGGACCGGTGTGAGGCCGCAGCATGCCAGCAACTGGTCCACACAGAAAAGCAAAGCCCCATTCATGGGATACAAAACCACACACTGTCCGATCCACGGAAAAACCTTTCTCCATGGAACCAGTTCCTGGTGCCCAAAAGGTTGGGGACCTGTGTCTTATAGCATTTTTCGTAACTATGTATGCTAGAGAATGTAAATGTGTGTGTCCCATTGTGACACTACACAATTTAAAACACAGCAATTTGTCATTAACTTCTTTTTCTTAATTACATTAAGGCAAGAATATAACATGAACCAAAGTTTGTTTGTTGTTGTGGCATCATTATCAATAAGATCTATTTCTCCTTCCTACCGTACCAGTGGTCTACAAGATTTTGTGACACAAATGCTTAAATGCATAAATCCTTTTAAGGTTTAGTGTTCTGTTTCAGAATCATGAAATATTCATGAGGTACCTTGAAAGATACCAATAAATAGTATGAATATGATAGGCCTCCTAGGGGATCTGGAAGATGGGCAGAATAAAGATATTAAAAAGTCAAAATGGCAGCTGCAACATGTGTAAAATTAGGACAGGCCTTGCATCACTCAGTTGCTTCTTGGCTTTTTGGTACCAACTGTCCAAAAATATGTCCCCAAACTTCCAGAGGTGACCCCAATAAAAACAAACAGCTTTGTTAGCTGGTAATTCTGGAATTCTAAATGTTCTAAAATTCTAAATGTTATAGACCAGTGTTTCTCAACCTTGGCAACTTGAAGAGGTGTGGACTTCAACTCCCAGAATTCCCTAGCGCCTTGGGGAAGTTCTGGGAGTTGAAGTCCACATCTCTTCCAATTGCCAAGGTTGAGAAGGTTGAGAAATACCGTTGTATTTGTGAATGGAAAGCACAATCAAAAGGTGTCTGATAGCAAATTCTCTGTGTAACACATGTTATTAAAATAATAATAATAATAATAATAATAATAATAATAATAATAATAATAATAAATAAAGTTGGAAGGGACCTTGGAGGTCATCTGGTCCAACCTCCTGCTCAGGCAGGAAACCCTATACCATTTCAGACAAATGGCCGTTAGCATCACATCACAAGATGTAATGAAATTGTTGACAGATGCAGTATTTAAATTGGAATGGGAAGCAGGTAGGACAGGAAGTCAAAATGAGAAATGTTGCCATTTTATACTTTTCTTTCTAGCATATATACGAACAACTTTTTTAACCAAAGAAAAGCTGCCATCAACAAGTTGTGCTATAAAGACGCACTATACTAGCCCAAGCATTACCATATTTCTAATAGCAAATATTCTTTCTATTTTCTATATGTTTTCATTTTCTGAAGGAAATCTTTGCAAAAGGCACTCACCTATTAATGTGCTAGAAGAAGAATATTTTTCTTTTTGCTGCCCTGAGAAACCACAGCATGAAGGACAAGTTATCTATTGGTATAAAGAAAAAAAAGGAGAAGAAATGCTAATTCATGGAGACAGCAGAATTGATTTGAATGGGTCTAATTTGCGATTTTGGCCAATTTTACTGAATGATACTGGAATCTATCAATGCTGTCTCAAGTAGGTACACTATATACATAGATACAAGGATTATGTGTTTTAAAAGGAAGTTATATTCATATTTGTCTCTGTTCTCCAACCTTATGGTCCATTCTCAGTTTCCTGGATGTCACCTCCCTAAATTCATGGCCAGTTAGCTGAAAAATGGGCACAAGTTAGCCAAGCAAGGGGAGAAGTCTCTAAAATGGCAGCTGACTGTCCTCTGATGGTCTCATGGCTGAATACCTGGGTAGCAGCAGAATCGTGGTAAAGAAGTCAGCTTGTGACTAAACTCTGGTTGATGAGAAAAGTAGAAATGAGATTTTCAGCAAGTCAGAAGTCAACCAGGGCAACATGTTCATTTGAACAACTGATTTAATCTTTTCTAACAACTGTTTAAGAATTTATTTTATTAATCTGAGAATTAAATGGTAAATCACTTATTACTGGAGGGAGTTTTGAGTGTTGGCCCATATTAAAAGATTGTTAACGGAATATATTTCTATTTTGCATGTGTCGGTAAATATTTATGTTCCAATTCCTCAAATAACAACAAAACAAACACAGTTTAAGGCTATTTAAGGTATAGGCTTCACATGCTACATAGATTCTCCCAAAAAAGAAAAGAAAAGGTGGTCTTGTTACCAAATTTGAGTTTGATATTAATGTAGCATTATCAGAAGGATCAAACCCTAGTAAATAAAACAAATGGAAGGAGAACCCCATATGTTCCAAGACAGTTGAACATTAATGTTGTCCTACCTAAGCAACAATTCCAATATAACTATTGGGAAAAAGTTTGCAACAGTAAAACTTGCCATCCATGAACCAGAAAAAGAAAATGCACCCTATAAAATAAACTTAATATGAAAATCAAACTTCCTTCTTTAAATAACAGTAGAAGCTTCCTGAATCAAAAAAGGCATTTTATCCTAAGTAAACTTCTGAAATAGTGTATTGCATTTTTTAAAAATAACATGTTAGCTATATGCACTATAAAATATATAAATTCTTCATGGTAAAGCATTCCTTTATAAAGTATATATTTTGTTCCAGATGTTACATTTAAGTAATATTCATTTACCCAGTTTAATAATTTGAAATAAACCATCTCTTTTGCTATGGTGAGAATTCTTCATGTTCCCAAGGTAAATTTAGTAATCATTTCCTCCTCAACAGTAATGTAAAAGCTTTAAATCAAAAAAAGTTTTAGGTAAGATAGAATAATTAGAAGCTTTAAAAGAACCTTTCTTGTCTTTACTTGAATCTAAAACACCATTCCAGTCTCCCATCATAATGACAGATTTGTAATCCAATTGATTTACTTTCTGATGTATAAATGACTTGGAATTAAGAGATATCTGGTGAGAACGGAACACATATTAAAATTTCATTATTACAAAATTATCCTGTTCATGTAATACATGTAAGTGGCAAGTCACCTGTACCTTTGGAGTAATTTTTCAGAGTTAGTTTGCTATTACTGTAAAGAGCTGTATTTCAAAACCCAACCCATCAAAGTCACTAAATGAATGGACATATAACTGGACATTTAATGAGCACTATAAATTATGAGTAAAGAAGACCAATCTTTACGCTAGTGTATCTCCAAGCATTTAGGTTTTAGATCAAAAGCAATTGTTTGATATGTGTCCAGTTTCCAACTCGGTATCAATGATCTTTTTTTCAAGATCAGTGTAATATGATCTGTAAAAGAGATTCCTGTTAGAATCTTAATTGCTACATTGTGTCCCAGCACTCAGCTTACAGTATTAATTTAATTTAATTTAATTTAATTTTTAGATTGCCCTATTCTTAAATGACTCTTGGGCAATTTACAACTAAAAAAACCAGTGTATAGAAAGTAAAATTGAAAATCAAAACAAAACAAAATAGCAGCTCTAAAATCAACTGTCACCAAGGCCTGGGAGAATAATCATATCTTTAGCAGTTTTCTAAATGACATAAGTTTGGGAACCACAAAAATCTATGGGAGGAAGCTAATTCCAGAAGTCAGAAATTGCAGCAGAGTAGTTGCCTCTCCTGTGTCCTGCCAGATGACATTCTTTAACTGAAAGGATTTGGAACATGCCCACCCTGCTGGATCAAAACAGATGGCAGGGATGACTGGAGACCAGCAGTACCTCAGATAACCAGCCCTATGCCATAAATGACTTTAAATGTGATAACCAGGACCTTGAATTACATCTGGATGTCCTGACCATTGGAATTTGTGAACAGCAGGATCATGCATGTATAATGCAGTGCCCCTATCACTGCCCAACCCACCAATTTTGGACCTGTGATAGTTTCCAGATAGTTTTCAAGACCACATTACTGCAATCCTATTGTGAGCTGACTACTGTATGAACAATGATATGCATTGGGAGGTCCTCTCCCAATGCAGGAAAGGGCACAATTGGTTCACTAGATATATATGTGGATATATCTTTAAGCAGGAGCTGAAAGTCCAAGAGGTCCCTTAGATAATGTCCAAATCTGAATTAGGAAGTGATAATGAGTGGTCAAATATTTGCATTTTCCAAAAAGCCCCACTTGGAGTGTTTAACGATAGTCTACAGGGGAAGTGATTGAATAATAAATCCCTAAAGTCTTATCTTCCTTCTCCTAGATATAGAGAACTTATTTCCAGAGAAATCTGGGAGAAAGCATTTTGAGAGTCTACCGCTGCTTCTTAACCTCCCAAGAGAAACATTAATTCCATAAGCCCCTTCATCTGAGCTTTTCACATGCTTTCATCCAGGATTGACTTGATTGACAGAACGTTTTATGTGAACTTTCAGTTTATTCATTCTTTCTCAGTCACTTGCCTATGCCCAAACAACAGTGTAGAGCTTCCAAAATCTTTTAGAATTTGTGAAAAAGAAAGATAGCGAAAGTCTTCTAGATATCATCATCTTCTTGGTGAAACTAGTCTTTAAAACTTTAAAGCATTAAGAAGCTTTAAATATGCTATCAGTAAATTCTGTGGCAGAGCACAGATAATATAATAACCCTGTTGCTTCAGAAATTGTGGTTTGTTTGTTCCATTTTCTTAGCTCTAAAGGTGATGGCACAGTTTTCAGCCTCAATGTGTGTGTATAACAGGAAGGGTATTGCAAATTAAATTTTTCTCAGCATGTCTACAACAGGAAGAATGTTACAAAAATTATGAGTAAGTCTGTCACTTAAATGGTACTTAAGCACTTCACTGCTATGATCTAAATAAATATTTCAGCAATTGCATTTTAGAAAATGATGAATTCAACCTTTCCTTATTTTAAAGTGGAATTTCCAAATATTCTTACGTGTATTAATTGTTTTATAATGGAGACATTATTTTCTCTAGTCATCCAATTTCTTAAGTTGCTTCTACTTTCCTGATAAACCAAACCCAAACTTTTGACAATCAAGAAAAAGTAAGTTCTCTAAACTCCCCCCCCCCATTTTAAGGAATCAGGCACTATATATCTGTTTTCTAAGGCCTCTAATCAAAACTAAATAGCATAGTTTCTTTCCAATTCTGAAATAGAGTATGCCCCCAAATAAAAAAAAACTTTCCTTTCTTCCTTTTAATGATAACAGGGAAAATAATAGTCTTTTATATTTATAAAATGTAGCACCATTCATTGTACTTTTATTAGTATCGTTTATATAGACCTCTAAAAAGAATGAAACAACAACATGTGTGGATACCAATAATAAATGGAGGAAAAACAGATAAAATAAATTTATAACCTGCTTTGTATAGTAGTCTAACCTATGATACCCTTATTCTATGTGGTTTACAACCACCAAAAATGTCGTTCTTCTGTTTTAATCATGTGTATTCAAGAATATTATGCTGTGATACTAAACATATTTAATTGGAAGTAAACACTGCTTTGTTTAGAAAAAGATAAAGGTGCTCATTTAACAATGGTAATTGGGAACAACAATTCTGTTGCCAAAAAACACAGTCATAAAGCATGATGTCATGTTGACTGTGCTGACTTAAGATGGCAATTCTAGAACCTCTGGTTGCCATTGTTAAGCAAATCCTGCAGAATTGTTAAGTGCAATGTCACATTGTTGCCATTTGCAATCTCCTGCTGGCTTGCCCACTGACTTTGCTTGTTGGAGTCCACAGTGAAGGTGATCATGTGTCTGGGATATTGTGACCTCATAATTCTGAGCTGGTCACCAAGTTCCTGAACTGTGATCATATGACTATAGGGATGTGTGATGGCTACAAATATGATGACCAATCATAAATCCCACTCATTCAGCATCATCAAAACTTTGAATGGTCACTGAATGTGGTCATTAAGCAAGGATTATCCATAGTACAATTTTAAAATGAATAAGTATACATCTTTATGTATATATTTGTCTAGCTAAACTGTGATTATAAATTATTACAAGAGAAGGATGTAAAAAAGAAGTTATACTTGTATTAACATGGATGCTAATTTGGTCTGACTTTTCGGACTTCTGAGTGACACTGAATTAATCCTGGTGGTAACTGCCAATCATGGTAGTAGCTGTGATTGGCAGTCTAGTTCAGCCTTTGAAATAGCTGGGTTTATCCAAGTTTTAAGCACTTATTAAAAGTGTGGCCACATAACAAAAATAAGGGCATGTTCTTTAACTTTTGAGATCTATACCCTTAATTTCTTCACATAGATTTTGTAAGTTTATTTTTATGATGAGAAGAAGTTGGATATATCTCCTCCTTGAAACAACTATTCTGTTTAAATGCCACATTTCTTGTTCCCATGCAGAAATGGAACCTGGAAGAGATCCTGCAAGGAATGGTCCTTAAATGTCATCAAGAGAAATAAAAACAATTGTTTCACTGAAGAGCATTTGATTACTGGAAGAGATGGAATAATTGGGACAGGCTATTCTTTCACATGCAGTGATACAAATGATAGTACAATTGTTATCAACATAACGTGGTATAAGGTACTTTTAAAACTATTTCTTGTTTATAGATTGAGTCAGGAAGAGGGAGATAATATACCATAATGGAAATTGTCATCCACTGCATTCATCCACTGCAACAATAAAAATACAAATGATCATCTGAGTTGCAGAGAACATTGCCCTACTCTTTGTTTAGTGATCCTGGTGGCTTCAATAAAAACCCAGTCTCTATAAGTACAGCATAATGGTGTTCAACAGGGTCCATCACCTATAGAGATAGATATATAGAAACTTCTAGACACTACTAAATGCTGCATTATTTGGATAGCAGTTCATGAACCTTTCATTCTGTTGAAGCTTCCCAGATGTAAACATTTCCACTGTGCTTGTAGAATTAGTATACAAAGTGAGGACTTTTGTCAACCACTACTCATTCAAGGAGTTACACACTTATTCAAAAACCTCTCAGTGTATCTAAAGTTCATATCCTTGTTTCCATGCATGGTGGAAATAAATACATCAAGATCCTAGCCTGAAGCTAATTAGAGTTTTAAACTTCACTGCCAGTGTCTTCTACATCTGGATAGCAACTTCTATTCAACTTATCTGTTGTTGAAAAATAATTTCTTTTTAATCAATCCCTCTTTACATGTCTTTTGAACAGAGTTTTGTATAAGGGGAGCTTTTTATTAATATTTTACAGATGGTTTAATTTGTTAATTTCATGAATACTGATTTATAATATAAACTTCTGTTGGTAATACATTCTAGTAATAACTACATATTACATTGAAAAATAGTGAATATTGACATAAGCAGGTTGTTTCTGCATTGCATTCATTCTTTCCAAAAATTCTTGCATTTTCCTGGAGTGGATTTAACACAAAGAATTTATTTGAAGCAACTAAGTCTGAGGATTTAGTTTAAACATCTAAATCTATGCATATTAGTCTCCTTGGATTCTATAGGGATTATTCCCAGATCAAGAGCTGTAGACAGAATAATTTTTTGGATATAATAAATGAAAGCTGAATGCAATCATGTTTACCCAAGTGATCAGAAAAAAGGCAATTGATACATTTTTTCCCAATAGGATTGGGAGCTTTATCTTACAATATGTCCCCTTTTAAAAATCTGTATATTTTATGTTTATAATAAGCTGTTTTGTAAACATCTTCACTGAAATAGGACTGCATAGAGAATATTAATAAGAGAGGTGAAGAAGAATGGCACATTGATCAGTTAACAGAAAAGGATGGTGGAAAATATACATGTGTAAAAACAATTCTTCATGCAGGAAAGAAATATAACAGCACAAGTACCATCAATTTAAATGTTAAAGGTGAGGCTGTGTAAAATTGTTAAATGACTTGGTACCACAATCAGTGGTGTTCTTGCTCTAATGTGGCATGTTTGAATTTTAGTATATTATGAAGTAATGGAGAACTCAGCAAAACACAACACAGAGAAAGACTTCCAATTCTCTTATGTTTATGGATTACAGTTGTTTAAGCTGTCCATGCTTATATATGTATTGGCTAGTAATGAAAGCTGTGCTGGAGAAAACAGAAGCCCGATAGATGACTGTGCACACACATAGGGTCTTCTAACAAGTCCTCTGTACAACTCTTCATTTTTATCTCATGCCAGCAGCTCTCTATCAGAAATTATCTCTACTTCAAGTCCTTCATGCTTGTTGGTTGTATAACTGGACGAAATAAGTCTTATTGCTTGATACAGGTAGTCCTTGACTTATACCCATAATGGAGTCTGCCAAGTGAATGTCATAAAATGGGTCATCATGTGATTGGTCCCAATGTTACAACCTTCTTTGCAGTGGTCATTAAGCAAATGTGGTAGTTGTAAAATGAACACCGTGGCTATTAAGTGAACATTATTAGTATTATTAGAGCATTTCTACTGAAAAATGGAAGTAAATATTGGTTTTTGGAAAAAAAGAACCATCATAAATCATGGTCATGTGACCATGGGACACTGCAAATTGTCCTAAATTATTCCCAAGTGGCTGAAATATAGTCATGTGACATAGGT